AGAGGAAACAAAGTCTAAAAGCCAGATGGGCATGGTGGTTCATACCTATAACCTTTGCTACTCAGAAGGCCCTAGCAAAAAAACAAAAAACAAAAACAGAAGTCCCAAGCAAAAAATAAAGAGACCCCATCACCACCAGGCATAGTGCTACTTTACATGATATCCTAGTTATACAGGAGATCCTGGATAGGAGGATCATAGTGAAACTGTCTGAGGCCTAGCACTGGTAGGGAAAAAGAAAGAGAAACCCCTACTTGAAAACTAAACAAAAAAGGACTGAGAAAGTGGCTCAAGTGATAGGACACCACATAGCAAGCAAGAAACTCTTGAGTTCAAGCCCCAATACTATGAAAATAAAATAGTAAAAGCCAGGCAGGTGTGGCCAGTTGGGAGGCTGAGACATTATGGTAGAGAATTGAGGCTGGCCTGGATAATGAAGTGAAACACTCTACTCTTTGTCTCAAAAAAAGAAAATATTTAGTTTATGTCTGGGAAAGTGGCTTAGTGAGAGAGTGCTTGCCTAGCATTCAGGAAGCCCTGGGTTCAATTTCTCAGTACCACCTAAACAGAAAAAGCCAGAAGTGGAGCTGTGGCTCAAGAGGTAGAGTGCTAGCCTTGAGCAACAGAAGTTCAGGGAAAGTGCCCAGGGGCCTTGGTTCAAGTCTCTGGACTGGGAAAGACAGAAAGGGGTGGGAGGAGAAGGAGGAGAGGGAGGGAGGGAAAGAAGGAAGGAAGGAAGGAAGGAAGGAAGGAAGGAAGGAGGGAGGGAGGGAAGGAAGGGGGGAGGGTAAGAAATATTTAGTTTATGATTTAGCCAGGCAAACCCGATGGTTTATTTTTCTTCCTCTTGCCTTCTGGCCACTTTTATCCCACAGAATCCTAGAACCCTTTTTTTTTTTAAATAAACAGAAGTAAAAACATCATAGAAGATGTGATAAAATAGGATCTACTATCCAAAATCAAATTAATGATAATGTATAGAATTGCTCATATTATATTTCTGCTTTATAATGAAAAACAATCAAGCCCAGCAAGATGGTTCACACCTATAATCCCAGCACTTAGGAGGAACAGCTTGAGTTACGTCGATCTTCTCAAAAACTGGGAAGCAAAGGATTTAGGGAAGAGAGGGAAAAGAGAATGAAGCTAGAGTCCTGAAGGATCCAGTATACCTGTGGGATTATTTTAACTGATTATGGCTTGGGAGATAAATGATATTTCAGACTGACAGTTCTGAATGCCCTACCACTTGAAATACTTGTGTTGTAAATCATCAGAGAATGTTACACTTCTTAATTAATTCCCTACGTTTATATATGGATTAAGACACTCCTGGATTTAAGTGTTTCATTATCTCATACAGAGTACTTTTGAATATTAAAAAGAGGGCATTCATTATCGCTAGGCATCAGTAGCTCATGCCTATAATCTAGCTACTGTAGCAGTTGAGAGCAGACAGATGACAGTCCAATACCAGTGTAGACAGAAAAGCTCAAAAGACCTGGAAAATAACCTGTAGAGATCGAAAATACAAACATGCTTGATAATATATACAGGATCTATTCATATATACACAAACTGACTAAAGGATTGTATACGTAGGGGAGGAGTCCAAAGCTGTAATTCCACTAAACAACTAATGTACTGTTTACCAAGATGAATACCAGGAAGTAAAAACTCATTTAGGGGGAGAAGGCAAAGGAGAGGGCACTGGAGAGAGGAAGGGTGAGCAAATGCAGTCATTATATTCAATATACAGTATGTAAAAAATGAACTTCCTAACTTGAGGGTAGAAAAGGGAGAGAAACAGATGGGGAAGAATGACTTTAATCAAGATGCAGTAGGGCTTGGAAGTTGGCTCAATGGTAGAGTGCTTGCCTTGCATGCATGAGGCCCTGGGTTCGATTCCTCAGCACCATGTAAGCAAAAAAAAAGCCGGAAGTGGTGCTGTGGCTCAAGTGGTAGAGCACTAGCCTTAAGCTGAAGAGCTGAGGGACAGCACCCAGGCCCAGAGTTCAGGCCCCACAACACACACACACACACACACACACACACACACACACACGCATACGCATTGTATTCATAACCTGACTCAGAATTGTAACCTCTTTGTTTAACCAGTTAATAATTAAAAAGGAAATGCCAGGACCCTTGGCTCACACCAGTGATCCTATCTACTCAGGAGGCTGAAATCTGAGGGTGGCAGTTCAAAGCCAACCCAGGCAGCAAAGTCCCCCAGAGACCCTTATCTCCAATTAAGGCCTAGAAATCTGGGAAGTATGGCTCTAAGTAATAGAGTACTAACCTTGAACACAAAGAGCTCAGGGACAACGTTCTGAGCCTGAGTTCAAGACCCATGTCCAACAAAAAAAGTAAAAGAACCAGCAAAGGCTGGGCACAGGTCGCTCACACCTGTAACCCTAGCTATTCAGGTGGCTGAGATCTGAAAATGATGGTTCGAAGCTAGCCCAAACAGGAAAAGTCAAGACAGGGTTCTAGCTTCCAATTAGAAGCCATATAACTTCAGTATTAACTTCAGTTAAATTCTGTGATTCAGTTACTTCCTTACATGTAAAATGGGGGAAATCCAGTAGTCCCTACAAGGCTATTCTCAAGAATAACTGACATTGTCAGAAAAATGACATGCCCTCAACCTTAATTATGATTATTACCCTTATCACTAGATCTAAAAATTCAAGACCAGTAAGGAAAATTGAGCCTGGAGTAAATGAGGTATCCTACTTGAAAATTCCCCGTTTTCCCTGCAATACTAAGGGTTTGAACTGAAAAGTCTCAAGATTGCCCAGCAGGAGTTCACAGCCACACCCCCAGATCTTTAATCCAAAATTCCATACTTAATTTGTCCTCCTAAAGAAAAAGGGAAAGGAGGTGGGCCTAGTAGTCTTGGGGGTAGCAGTGGGATATGACTATAGTACCTGATACTAGGTAGGCTGAGGCAGGAATATTAAGCCCAGGAGTTGAAAGCCAGCTTGAGCAACACCGCAAGATTCTGTCTCCCTTCACAAGGAAATGTCAACCTTCAGAAGGAAAGAAGGGAGGGAAGGAAGAAATGGAATGGAATTGAAACGAAGGGAAGAGGAGGGGAAGGAGAAGGAAGAGAAAAGAAACTAGAAGGAAATCAGAGTACCACGTCGGTTTTGTTTTTGGTTTCGTTTGTGCATTAGACACTAGGTTTCATTTGGTTGCCTAAGGCTGGTCTGGAACTTGGGAGCTCAAAGTGAACCCCAGGCTGCAGCTTCACCAGCACTGAGGCTGCTGGCACACCACCCGGCAGGGCTCCCAAGTATCGTTTTGTTTCTCAGGTTTTTTGTTCTTCCGACACCTTTTCACTACGTAGCCTGGGTGGTCTGGGCTCCCCAACCAGAATGCTGAATACAATACAAGTGTAAGCATTTACCCATGCTCCACCAATGCACTGCTTTAAATACAGGCTTTGTGAGACACATTTAACTGGAAGCTACACTATTCGTTCTTAGGAACATGGAGGCCAGATAACTACCATCCCAGAAGTTGTGCCGGACACCTCTTCTGTCCCAAATACCCTATAAATAAAGACTTGTTATACTTGAGGCAATTATTCCGAATTCGAAAAGGAAGCAACCATCTTTACACAACTCAAGCTCTAGGCTTTAAGAATTAAAGTCTATTTTCCCTGACGTAAGGAAAACATCTATTTATTGCTTGTTAATGCAGCAAAACAGATTATAGGCTCCTTTTCCAATTCTCTCTTCTCAAAAAAACATAATATGCCACCGTAATAGTAACTCATAAGCATATTTTTGCCAACTGTGATCACAATCATGACCCATGGTCCCTGAAATTTCCTTTTGCAACTAGGTACTAAGGATGTAACGCGGAGGAGTAAAATTCGTAAATTGGCTTCATGGGATGAAAAGTCAGATAAACTAGTTGAAAAGCAAGCGAGCCACCTGCGTGAAAGTGGTATACATTTTACATTCACGATCCAACTGTCAGGCAGCAAATCACAAACACGCGTGAAAAACATCTTCAACCTAAAAACCTATTTGATTGATAACCGACGGCCTTCCAGCCAACATACCCTTGCCATAAATCTTCCTTCACACGAGCCCCCGTTAATCTGCTCCCCATCCCTTCTGGAATAAATAAAAACAGTCCGATTACTTCAATACGAAATTTGCCCAAGGGGGGGGTAATAAATCTTTTGAAGTCCCACTAAAAGCCGGACTTCACAAAGAAAGTAGTGTACTAAGGTTCTCAGGAAGCAAAACCTTGCATTCATTAAGTATCCTTTCCCCACCCCCTCCAGGATAAACCGAACGATAAGGTTCAGAATTGGGAGTCGAGAAGAAATCGAAATACCTGGGGAAGATATCCCAAGTGTCCCCTCTTCCGCCAAATCTCCAGGGGCTGCAGGAGGGCCGGTGGGGGGGGGAGAGGAAAAATAAATCCCACACAAGCGGGTACTTCCCGTCTCCAGCAGTGTAAACGCCACTAAGTCGTCCCAGGCTCTCGCATCCTCCCGCCGCCCCTCCCCCTCTTCCCACCCTGCCCCCCCCTCCCGCGCGCTTCTTTCCCCACGCAGTTTCTTAGGCCCAAAGATTAAGAAGAATGATCAGGATGCCAAAGACCGCCCCCGACTTCGGGGTCTCAATCCAATCCCACAGGCACACACGAAATAAACAAGACGAGGCCAACCTAAAGCTTCACACGGCTTAGAGGAGGTACAAGAAGCGTCCTCCCCCACCGCACCCCCAAAGCACATGCTGCGCCCCCTACCCCATCCCATGTACCCACCCTTCCCCCACCTCCCACCCCACTCAGCCCGGACAGCAATCTTCCCACCGAAAAGAGAAAATGATGCCGCTGGCCGCTAAGCACCACACGGGCGTCACCCCCAGCCAGACAAAAAAGTCATTTACAAGATAACCCCCAAGTCGCATGGGTGCCCGGGCTTGATCAGCTCGCCAAGGGTCCAAGACAAGGGGTGGCGTTTTTACCTCGTGGGCTCAGCGGTCATGTTTTGGTTTTTTTTGGTTGGGTTGGGTTTGGTTTTTTTTTTTTTGCTGGAACGCCTGGGCGACTTCTGCGACCCTCGGGCGCCGCTCTGCACTGCCTGGCGTCCGAGGCCGGTCGAAATGCACGGGAGTCCTAGGAGTTGCCTGCAGCTGGTGCTTGGATGGTCGCCCCCAGCTCAAAAGCCGTCACCACTGCCACCGCCGCAGGAGCCGCGGAAACAAAGCGACGCCGCCGCCGCCGCCATTTTGTTGGGCCGAGGCTCAGGCAGGAGAATTGGCGCGTCCTCCCTCTTCCTCTTTCCGGCCTCCATTGGCTACCTCCTCCCCAGCGCCGAGTCTCATTGGCTACGGAAATTCACCTTCTTTGGGGGCCTGTTGCTAAGGCGGTCGACGTCATTTGATCCCCCCTCCACCTTTGCACAGAGGGTCCAAATCGGTCCTCGTTGACCTGAAAATGCTAAATGACTAAATGACGTGTGGAGACTTTATTCCATAAAAGCTCCTTTGGATCCATCCGTGTTTGATTGGATCTAAAGGGTGAAACGATAGAAAGCAGGGTGCGTTTATTGAGAATTTACTATATGCCCAGCACTACACTGATCTTTTATCTGCCTTAGCACTTGGGATCCTTGCACCCTCTGAAATCAGACCTACGTTTTTCAGATGAGGAAACCAAGACACAAAATTACAAACCAGTGCGAATTTCAGACCACATATCGCCCTCTGTTTTGGTTTGCTTTTTTTTCCTCCTTTCGTTGTTTTTTTGTTTTTTCCAATTTACCCTAGGGCCTTGCACACACTATACAAAACGTGTTCTGCCACTGAGCTACACCCCTAACCTACACTCTCAATCACCAATTTATACGGCCATCCAATATAAATACATTTCTATTATTCCAGTATACAAGCAGTTTCTTTCCGGCCTACTTAATATGGAATATTCAGCATGCCGAAATGCTTACAAATATATGGACATATGCTTATGTATATCTTTATGTACATGACATATAACCGCGTTGAAATCTACTTACTATTCTTTCTATACTGAATAAACTAAACTGCTACTTGGACCTAGCAAGACATCAGCCGGCCATTTTCCCATTTTCACGTGATGATGTATAGCTTCCAAACCAGCCAATCTAAATACTTTTATTCCCCATTTCAGAAGAGATTTAACTAGATGGTCTGTAAAATACTTTCCAGCTTCCACATTCTGTTTTTTTTTTCTTAGTGCCACTATGTACACAATCTATGGCTTCATTCAGGCTCCTAGCATTAATTTGATTCTTCATTGGCAATCTCTGCAAATCACAAATCAGTTCCCCCAAAATTGAAGTTTCTAATTTTATTTGCAAATATCTTCTGCAATGCATACATGCATGTTTATTCCATTTATGTTTTTTATGGAATGGATAATAGCTGTCAGGAGTCAATGACAGGATTGCTGCTTTCCACAGCAATCACAAGACTGTAGTCTTTTTCAGTGACAGCATTCTGATAATTTTCATAGATACTGGCAACTTTTTAATCAGCAGAAGCTTTCAGACACTTTAGAGTCTTTCTTTTTCTTTTCTTTTTTTTTTTTGGCCAGTCGTGGGACCCGAACTCTGGGCCTGGGCACTGTCTCTCAGCTCTTCAACTCAAGGCTAGTGCTCTACCACAGTGCCACTTCCAGCTTTTTCTGCTTATATGGTGCTGAGGAATCGAACCCAGGGCCTCATGCATGCAAGGCAAGCACTCTACCACTGAGCCACCTTCCCAGACCTCACCACTAATTTTTTATTGTTGCTATAAAGGTGATATACAGAGGGGTTATAGCCACATAAATCAGGTAATGAGTACATTTCTTTTTGGACAATGTCACTCCTTCCCTTGCTCTCTCCCAGTTTTTCCCTCTTGTCCCCACCCACAAGCTGTTGTAAGGTATTAAATAGGTAGGTTTCATTAGGTAGCCAATGAAGAGAAAACCACGCGCTATTCAGACAGGCGTAGAAGTTTATTTACTGAACTGCTGCCCCTGCAGTGCATGGTGAAGAAGCATGGCTGAAAAGGAAAGGGGCTACCCACCCCAAGCCAGGACTTATCTAGGTCAGGGACAGGAAAAGGTGTGGCCAAGTGGGGCAAAGGTGTGGCCACACTGGATCCGGAAATGACTTCAGGGTCTGGAACCCTCCTAAGGTCAGATGGGAGGCATGTGACCAGAGGTGGCCTAGGAAGTGACCTAGCAGGAGGGGAAGGTGACTGCTTCCAGGTCTGCCAGTTACCTAGGTAACAGATACTGGGCAGAAACTTAGCCAAGAGGTAGGGAGGTCTCCCTGTGCAGACCTTACAGCTATATAGTTTATTTTCAATATAGTGTATAGAAAGTACCACTGCTGCTGCTGCATTGGTTCACCCTTTGTCTCACCACTATTTTTTGTTATAGAGGTGTTAATGCATTTTATTTTATTTTATTTTTGCCAGTCCTGGAGCTTGAATTCCAGAGGCTGGGCACTGTCCTTGAGCTTCGTTTGCTCAAGGCTAGCACTCTTTCTGTTTATGTGGTACTAAGGAATTGAACCCAGTGCTTCATGCATGCTAGGCAAGCACTCTACTACTAAGCCACATTCCCAGCCCCTCCATGAAACTCATCCCCAGTTAATCACCAAAGAGCTGGAAGTGGAGTTGAGGCTCAAGTGGTGGAGCACCAGCCTTGAGAACAAAAAGCTCAGGGACAGCATCTAGGCCCAAAATCAAACCTCAGGACACACACAAAAAGAAAAAGAAACAATGGGGCTGGGAAGGTAGCTCAGTGGTAGAGTGCTTGTCTTGCATGAATGAGGCTCTGGGTTCGATTCCTCAACACCATATAAGCAGAAAAAGCCAAAAGTGGCACTGTGGCTCAAGTGGTAGAGCACTAGCCTTGAGCTGAACAGCTGAGGGACAGTGCCCAGGCCCAGAGTTCAGGCCCCCTGACCAACAAAAAAAAAGAATATTTGTAATTAAGATGATCCCATAGAAATTTATTTGTCCATATTTTAGAAATATGCATAACCGAATAATATTGTATTGTTTGCAAGGAAAATGGATGGACCTAGAACAAATCATGTTAAGGAAGCCAAGCTCACAGAGACAAATGGCACATGTTTCCTCTCATATGCAGAAGCTGGATCTAAATACACCAGAACATAATAAATTATACAGATCTCTAGGCATTCACACACACTGAGACCAAAGGAAGATATTCTTGGGAGAGGAACAGAAAGGCACAATGCTTATGTGCATCTGATCGGGATGTGAAGGGTAAACAAAGGAGGAGGCTGCAATGCTTGATAAGAAATGTACTCATTATCTTGCCCATGTAATTGTAATTGTACAGTATGTTCACAATAAAAAAAAATATGTATGGAAGAGAACTCCAAGAAATGGAGACAAGGGGCTGGGAAGGTGGCTCAGTGTTAGAGAGCTTGCCTTACATGCATGAAGCCCTGGGTTTGAT